GGGGGGGGGGGGGGGAGAGAACAGCCACAGCTGGACCCACATTCTGGTGAATGAAGAGGAGCAAATTTATCTGATTTTTCCATGATAAAAAAGCCAAAAATCAAACACCAAAATACACAGGTATTTAGAATGTATATTACTGTAATAATTGAGACACTGGTAGGCTTCCAAATTGCTTTAAAATTTTTAAAGCTTCTCAATAAAACATGGTGTTCAACTAATACATACATATAGTAGCATTTCATTTTAAATAATGGAAAAAACACTGGATGTTTAAATCAAAGAATTTTGGATTTTTAAACCCAGAAAACCAGGATCCCTGTAATGAGTAATCCCTGTGAAGTCACTGGAATTGCCCCCATGCATAAACATTTAGCATGGGCACAAGTGTTTGCAGAAATAAGAGACAAACTCATGGTCTTGGTTCACAGGTTTGTCCAAGCAAAGCATTCTGAATTAATTTGGAAACTCTTCTCAGGACTCCCTAAAAGAAAGCCCTAACAAATACACACATTTTTTTTTGCATAGCAGCATTTAATTAATTAAGCCAACCATTAGTAAAATAAAAGCAACAAGAACTTTCACCCCAGTGCTTCTATGACTAAGGAAAGAAGAGTAGAGCGCTGAATGGCAAGTTTCAGGCAGGAACAAGATAATGTGACCCCACTATTTAGATATAATCTTTGTTACCATTTGGCCTTCAGGGCACTTTTCTGCTGGCAACAAAAGGAGGAATTCCTTTAACGTTCTTGGCGCCATTTCCCCATATTAGCATCAGAATCACTGTCCACTTTCAGAAGGAAAGATGCGTTTGGTTAACCCAGTTTGTTCATGGAACAGACTATACAAACAATGATATCTTTCCTGAATTAAAGTCTACAGCTCCTGAAGACATACTTTAGTCATACAGTGTCTGTTAACACCAGCACACAAGAAGTTCACTGTTAGTGCAGACACACAGAGCTGTTTTTGGGGAGAGGTCTCTCTAGCTCCCTCTACACATGCAGGTAAAGGTGAGATTGGATCTAATCCATGATCCACGCAATCACGCCTCCTGCCGTGCCACATGTGCAGGGCTCCCCCTACATTGGCAAGAAGCAGGCACCCACAGCTGAGAGCCCTGTTTGCTGAAGGGGCTCCCAGCTGTGAGGGGCCACATGCAGATAAGACCAAGAGTCCCCTCACCTGACAGTGGCTCCGAGTCCTGGCTGAACCTCACACATCAATTGCAGGATCTCTCAGTCCTGGCTGCACTTCATGTGAGCTACGGGACTCAGCCCCAGCTGTCTGCAAGATACAGCCAGGACCCAGAGCCCAACGTGGGCCAGGGGTTTCATGCATCCCCAAGCCTTGGGGATCATGGATGCTGCAATCCCCAGAGCTTGGGGGTTTCAGGCTAGGCATTGTGGTTGGGAGCCCCGTCAGCTGATGGAGCTCCCAGCTGCAGGGGATTCCCTCCTACATGAACAAATTAAAGCTCCATAGCAACAAGCTATAAAAAGTTAGTACACATTTTTGAGGTCTAACTTCAGAGCTGCTTGAACCTTTTTATCATATGATAGCTACTTTGCACATGTAGCTGGTCTCCAGGTAATTGAGCAATACCTGTAATATGTAGAGAGCAGCTCTGTCTCCGCCTCTACCCCTTGGCACCTAGAGGGTAAAGACAACCAGCTCCTAATCTCAAAAGATAACAGTCCTGTTGTCAGGGGTAAAATTCCAGTCATTACTCACTCAAACCAAATCCAAACTTTGTAGTTAATCAACATATCATAGTTATACCATAAAGAAATGTTTATTCATGGACCTTATAATGAGAGGACATAAACCAAGCAAGCAAATATAGAAGAGAAGATTTGGAAATAAGATATACTATACTCTTCTCTAATTTCTGCTTTGTACATTAAAGTTTTAATGGTCAAGTTGAACTGAAAGTTATATTAACCTTATTAGCTGCTTCATTTTTGAGGCACTTATGGTTCCACGTTGGTACAGTGTCATGTATTCAAGGCCTGCTTTCTCCACCAAATCTTCTATAAACTGCAATAAATGGGAGAATCCTTCAAATGATAAACAATCCCTGCAGAGAGACAAGAGACAATGCTCTAAAGCTGTTAAAACCCAATTCCGCAGAACAAAGTCAGGCAGACACAGGTAGATAAAATGTGCCTTTGAGCAAACAGTAAAATATTTTGATTTCTATCCTTATTTTAGGCTTTCATTCACAAGCTTACAAAATAGCTAAGACACTTGATAAAAAGACTGAATGGAGGCAGACTCCTAGAATAAAGTAAGCAAATATGGTGAGAGAAGGCACAGATATGAGATAGACAACTCCATAAATAATAACAGCTTTTTAAAAAGGTGCTAGAGCTGCCACTGTATAGCTAGTAAAACTGAGAATTACCCCTTGGCAAATACTGCTTTAGCTCCACACACACAAAAAAAGAGCTTCCTTTGACTCCAATAATTCTTTCCCATTTCTGCTGGTGGTCTCTTTGTGCGTTTAGGATTAGATATTTTGACAGCAGCAGCATGTGTTTTATTTTTAGTTGGGGTGAACATTTGTCCCTGAAAACAAAACATCCCTGTTTAATGGGACTATCTTGTGCTCCTGCCAATTTCACAGAAAACTGTACTTTGTTCTGGTTTTTAGAAACCTTGGTAGACTTGTCCACAAAGAATAAGAATTCATAATTATAATCCAGTACACAACGCCCCAACCCAACATCAGATCTCTAGTCCAAAAGACTCTACTGCTCACATACCACTTTCCACCCCTTGATGTCAAAGAGCTTCAAAAAGGACACACTGGATCCCAGAGCCAATGACACTGGTAATCAGGTGGCTGAAAACATATGCACGTATGGCATGATGCATGCTATCGCCCATTCCTCCCCACCCTTCAAGGTCCCACAACAAGAAATTTTGGGCCAAAAATCCTCCATATGTTCAGGCATATTAAGCAGGAGAAAAAAAAATGTGGCTGTCAGAAGAGCTGGAGTGAATGTTTTGTGTGTATCCATTTGGGGAAGTGACCAATCACCCTGAATGTTCAAGGATAGGCCTGAATGTCAGGGTTGTGTCCTAGCATCCCGAAAGAAAATCCTGAAATAGGATTTCTATTTTGAATTTGAAAGATTGGTCCCGAATCAGCCAGTCCTGCAACCCCAAAAGGTTCCCACAGCACTCAGCAATATTCTGACACATCTGCTGAACGGCAGAGCCCCAGATGGGTCTAATTATAAACCAGTTAACACAGCTCCCCTCAGGAGCAAGCTCATTCTTGTGGTGCTGAGCCCAGGTTAGTTAGCTCTGCCTTTCAAAAAAAACCAAAACAAAAAGCTAATAAGCCTGTTCACAGGTCTGTACTAAGGTAGCAACACGAACCAGAGCTGGATGTGTAGCTGCTTCAAGTCCCAAAGGCCTCTAGAGCATCCTGGACTATGTTCCAGATTTTTCTACACAAAGGTTGGTTGCTTTACATTTTGGTCTAAACATTTGTTACAGGGAACTGGATTTGATAGCCTAAGTAAATGGTGCTCAGCCCTTTGGCTTCACAGGCCAGAGTGGTGTGAAGCCTGTCTATGGGCTGGATTGGGCCCTGGTGCCCAGTGTTGACCCCTCCCTGCCCCGCACACTGGAATCGGGTCCCATGGGCCTGGTGCCCAACGCCCCCCACACACACATAATGAGGACTGAGCCACAAGGGCCCGGTGCCACCCCCTCCTGCCCTCACATGCCAGGATTGGGTCATGAGGGCCCAGTGCTGCCCCCTCCCATCCCCCCACACAGCAATAGGGCCCTGGCGCCACCCCATCTGGCACACAGGGCCTGAGGCTCCTCATGGGTAGAGAAATGTGGCAGCAGGAGAGCAGTGCCACTGCTCCCCAGCCACCAAATTTCTGGACCCACAGAGAGCTCCACTGGATGGATGACATGGTGGCATAGGCCACATCTAGCCGGCAGACCAGAGGTTGAGCCCCTCAGTCTAGGGGGTCACTTCCCAATTCTACATTTCTTAGAGGCATGTGAAATAACAGTGAGAACCCAATCTGAATATATAACGGGAAAAAATACAAAAAATGAGTTAGCACAAGACAATAATAAAAGGGGATCCAGAAGGTAGAATATTGTTTCTTCCATTTAATGAAAAAACTTTCTAACGCACACTTTTGGGAAGCCTGGGGTAAACTAATAAAAATGAATTTTAAAGTTATTGGATTAGATTTACAATTTCTATTTTTACTATCAACTTCAATAGATCAATGTAAGGCCAACAATGAACACTTCTGAAAGTCTCACTTGCAGCAATGCAATTATTATTGCTATAATTGTTAGAATTATAGTTAGTGATAACAGCAACCTGCTGCTGACTTTTCTGAATTTTTTCTTAACTTTGCAGCTTAGCTCAGCTCCCAAATGACTCATTCTACAGACTCTAAATGCGTTTTGTTGGACTTGCTCAGGGGAGGCGCTTCTTAGACATTTGTACATTTAAGTGAGGGAGACAAGGAGCACAGGTCAAAAGTTACATTTTATAAAGACTTTGTGATGGAGCATGCCCAGCATACTCAGGAATGATTTTCAAATGTTTTAACTTCAACAATCAAGCCCTTTCCCCCTCAGATCAAAATAATGTTATAAACCCTAATGGGGATTTATCTTCACATCAAATTTCAACTTTCCCAACTTCTGCCTTTCTTGATCAAAAGGTATCACCAGAATTTACCAACTTATAAAGTGTATTTTTCTACCTCATCTCCGTACTCACAAATAGCTTGAAAGGAAGGTATTCATGTCAGTGGCGATGAGGAGGGTTGTTTTGTTTTTACACATACTTATAACCCCACTACCCATCTTTGAAGAGTGAAGAAGTATGGAAAACTTTCAGTTCCAAAAAAGTGAGCATTTTTTAAAAGTAGTGAATGCCTCCAGGAAGTTAAAAGGAAACTGTATTGCATTTTAAAAGAGGCCTGCAAAAATTTGATCTCTCCTCTGCTTCTTTATTACATATTAAAAAGGCTGAGAAAGCTGTGCTTATTTTTAAGGCTTGTTTTCTTGGTTGTACAGGGTTATTTTATTTTTAAATATATATATGAAAATGATCAATTCCCTCTTTTCTGAAAGGATGAGGACTTTGGTGGAAGACCTGCTAGCAATCTCAGAGTGTGTATTTTGTAAGATCTTCTACTTTCACTGAAGTGGTGGTGCTGCTGAAAGTTTAATGGACTCATACTTTTTCCAAAATGTAAATTAGATGTTGAAATTAAAATCTGATCAAAGATCCCTTTCCCTCTCAGTTGTTCATCCTGCAGTGATGTCATCATTGAACTTGTTCTTCCATCAGTGTGCCATGCTAGCTGGGCCTGGAAACCTCTAAACTAAAAATAACGCTCATAGCGTGCTTCCAGACAAGAGTGCATTTCCCCATGCACAAAAAGCAGTGACACATTTGTGCTACAGCATCTTGTCCCAGGCATGCCCCTACATGTGCGCTCTGGCACATGGCAAACTGACCCGGATGAAGTAGGAGAGGCTGGGGCCAGCCCCTGTGCTGGCCACACCAGCCTTATCTTGGGTCCTGAGGGCCTCCCAGGGCAGCAGTGGTGCTAATTCGGCTGCTTGGAGCCTGAACATCTTCCAGTATCAAATTTTTGCATTGCACTACAAATTAGCAGTGTAGCACATGGGTACATGTGCACCATGTGCAATTTGTGGTGCCTTAAACAGCTTTGAGGCACTGCACATGCACACTCTTCTGGACATGCCCATAAAGATAAAAACAAAAAAAGAAAGCACAAGCCCCTGATTTTTTCTGTTTGAAGGTCACCTGTATGTGTAAGAGGATTCTGCCTGCACCTGCTGTAATATAAATGCCTGTGCTGGATAAAAATAAAATGTTCAAAGTTTAAACAGAGATAAGAACTTCTCTCCCTGGAACTAAAGGAATATTATATACACAGATTTGTAAATCTCTGTGTGATATAAAGGTCACAAAAACGTTTCTTCTCAAGACAAATTGGTTACAAGACTATCATTGTTGCCTTTTGCTGAACTATTTTTCCTGCAAAGGAAAAGTAATACAGTAGACTTTCAGTGTCTAAATATCCCTATGACAGGCAGAGTTTATAATAATTGTATTAAATTAGAGTTGGGCCTGAACTAAAGACTTAGAGCAGAGTGCATCTGAAAAATGAAATAGATACTTCCAAATCCAGATCTCTGTTCTGCAGTCTGGGTCCACCCACAGTTAAAATATGTGCCTGTTAGCCCAATAGAAACCCTTTACATGAAATACGTTTCCACTGCACAGCCTAACATAACACACAGATTATCTTCCTGTCATTGCATATATTGAAACCGTATGTAAGAACAGATATACAGTAAGAGTCTGGACAGTTTTAATGCTATTACAAAGTCAATTTGTTCCAGAGATAATGTCTTAAAATTACTGACACATTGAGCAATTTGGTTCCTTTACGTTCACTAACAGAATAAATCTAGTGACCACCTACAGGTACAAAAACATAACTGAGACCTAGCAGGGATTTTGATGAAGCTACACTTCTATAATGATGCAAATTAAGATTTAAACATTGTAACAATAGACGATTGCTAATCCTTTTACAGCGGTGTAAATAGCTATTCAGATTTTGATTTCAGACCGCCTGCTTTGTTAAGGAGTTTCAACAGAAGAACTCCACGAAGCAACAACACAGCTGGGCTAAAAGCTTTATCTAAGAAGTGTGGTAACCAAAACAAGGCTTTTTTTGTAACATATACTAGCATGTTATATTTTGTTCATTTTGGAAGACTGGTCGTGATCCCTCATATAAAAAGCTGAAATACAATGTCACTGAATTCTGCTAAGTTCCACTGACATGCTGAAATACACTTAGAGCCCTGTTTACCCATAGCAATGTTTGCAAACAATGAAAAAATTAAGTCTGAACAGTTCTGTATCCAGTTCAGGTTTTTAGACTTTTAATACATACAATAGTACTAGAGAGATCACATATGCAGTTAAACAGTGCTTTTTCTTTACTAAAGTCTAACAAAACCTGTATTTTAGTGGCTAGCTCATTTCCTATTGTCTTACTCCCTCTGGGTGGTCTTTCCAGGGAGCCACTTGAAGGGAATACAATAATAAAAAGAAGGGGAAGGAAGGGACACCAACATAAAGAAAAACAAAATGTATGACAATCTGCAGCAGGCTACGGATCAGAGGTCAGCAAACAAGGGGTCCTTCTCTTTTACAGGTTGCTTCCTGGAAACAGTCTGATTAAGCTGACAGCTTGAATTATGTGTTACATTTTGTAATGCACCATCCATCTGCGCTAAGTCCTCTTCAGTGCAGCTGAAGCAACATAGGCATAAGCTCTGCCTGCCCCCCCTTCCCTTCACGACAGGCCTTAAAATAGTCATCATCTTTCTGTGCACTAATTCTCAGAGTTTGGGTTTTTTTTAAGCCCTTAAATAAAGGGTTGGATGGCTTTGAGGAATGGTAAAAGGATGTGGAACCTTTCACCTCAAGTTCACCAGTTCAAATCTGTAACAAGTCACTAGAGACCAAAAGTTGTTATTTGATAGCTGTTCAATACCTTACATAGAATGAATTGCAGGTCTTAAGTACCATTTCTAGTAAGCAAGGTGACATCATGTAACCTACAACCAAAATGAGCAAAACCTAAAATACTTGTTAACAGTCTCAGAGAGACCAAAAATTGAACAGGTACTAAAACAAACTATTTATCTACCCTATTTGGTAAATTCAACCCATAATGAGGGTGATGGTGGAATGTTCTAAAGACACTTGAACTGTCCATATCTTATGGAAAGAGAGACAGAGAAAAAATCATCTGTCAGTCCAAAACTGTGCTAAATTTACTTACTGGTATTATATTTTGTTAATTTTAATAATCTGAGCACCAAAATGGTCTCATTCAGTTGTTTAGGAAAGTGCTACACCTAAGTGTGCATCCTTGAGAGAGATAACAAGCTTTTAAAAACCTGTTATCATAGCAGCATTACTCATTTGTTTTTAGTTAACAGCTTGTCAGTATTTCCAAGACAAACATCATACTTCGAACACTTATAACTGGGCTGTAAAAAAAATCACTCTGGGGTAAAATGTGACGTACAAAGGCTTGTCTGAAAGACACTTTTAAAGAAAAAACAAAAGACCTGGTTGCAATCATATCTGTGGAGGTTAACTATGAAAGGCTAAACTGCTTCTCCAGTAGCTTTGATACAGATAATGTCAGTTGTAAGCCAGTGACTTGTCAGTGTGCAATAAGGATCTTTTTTTCTTTATGGCTTGGTTTGGTTTTAATTGAGTGAAACGGTGACCTCAGAACTGTTTGTCTGTGTGTTCTCTTTTCCACCCCACTTATTAATTCCAACCAATAGGTCTGAAATATACAAATGAACCAAAGAGGAAAGATAATGAATAGAAGAGTTAGCACCGACATTACAAAGCCATTGCTTAATAAAGAACTGATACACCAACAGGATGCAAACTATTTCAATTACATAAAACATTAATACATTTTTTTCATAATTACAAGCCCATTTCTCCAAATGCAGCCAATGTACTAGCCTTTTCTTATTTTTAGTAAATTATAATTCCATGGAATGTCTGACTGTTAAAACAAGCCATTTGGAGATTAGAAGACCACCAATAAATATACATTCAGACCACATTACAAAAACAGGTCTTGTGTGTGGTATATGTGCATGTGTTCACGCACTTATGTGGGCATGTATGTGCACAAATATCTGCATGTACTTGTATATGCATACAAACATACTTATAAAAGTTATTTTTATTCATCTATTCATTCCACAAATTCATTTACTAATCACTTAATAACTTTGCAAACAGGTTCTCCTTCCACTTGTAAGTCACACTGAAAACTACAAAAACATTAAGGTTTCACTTTCAGGAGTGGGGGACAGTGGGGTCACAATACTTCCAAGTAGTAAACTTAGCTATTAAAAACCACCTGATATTCCATAGGGTCTGTCACAGATACAAGTATTTTCTATTCCACCTTCCACCTTCATTTTAATTTAAAAACAACCCTAATATGGGTACCTTCTGCAGAAGCATGCAAAATAGTGATCACATTTGCGTGACCTTGAGAAGCAGAAACATTCAACTTGACATAATTTTAAAGAAAAATCTTTGCATTCAGTGTTCAGATAAATTCCAGAAATATAGTAATGAGAACAATGAAAGCTTTCCTGCAAGTTGTCCAGGCTTCAAGAACACCATACAGTATTTCAATCAGTTTATCAACAGCTGAAAATAACTAGGATCTACAGGGACAGAACAAAAGGCTAAATTACCACTGGCTCGGCTATGACCCTTCTGGCAAAAGCAAACACTTTATCAAACTTTCTTATGAAGTGTTATGATTAACAGGTGTTGTACAAAAGAAAAACAGTGTAAAAGCTATTTAGGTTAAAATTAAATGAAATTTCTTAAGTAAGCTATGGTCTGATCCATGGTTTGCAAATTTAAAATGATGTAGTTACAGAAGTGTATTTTAATGGGAGTTTATATTTTTCTGTGCTCAACTCATCTTTTATAATATAAACTGCTATCAAAATCATTATCTAGTAAGATTACATGCACATGTGCCTACATAAAAAGCACAGATATGTTAAACACACAGATACAAATGACCAAAGAGAAAAAACTGGCAGCAGGGAAACTGGTAAACAAAAAACCAAAAACCTCTACAAGCCTCATTCATTCTTGTTGGATAAAAATGCTGTTTTTGTTGGCTGTAAGTTTCCTTCTCAACCTAATGCAACAATTTTTATTCCTATTCTAATCCATATGCTTCTACTCACCACCTGATATTTAACCATTTAATCTGTAAATATTTGTTGTGACTTGTTCAGAAATAAAGGGAAAATTCCAATAGAAGCTAGAAGGCTAATGGAAAGTGCATGTGGGAGAAAAGGGGTTTTCCCTAAAAATGTTGCTAGCAGGAAGACAGGATCCTTAACTGTAAGGCTGGGCAGCAGGGGGAGCTGAATTGAGTAAAAGGAGCAAAGAGGAAATGCAGGTAAATGTGCCACTGAAGAAAAGTAGGCATTGTCAAGTTCACAGCTAGAACCTTTTTCCAGTTAGATACTAGAGATAGCAAAGAGGAAGAAAAACAGCTGATGGAAAAATAAGGTAAAGGAGGGAACATGAGGGAAGGAAACCTTGCAACAGAAACTGGTTATGATCAGCCAGGGGTGGATCCAGAGAGGGAAGTGGTATAAACGCACTCCTCTGTTTAGTCAACCAAGTTGAGGAGCAGCAACTGGAGATGTTTTATTTAAGTTCCCAAAGCAAGTAAGATTCTCTCCACTTCCCCTCCATGCCCAGTTGCCCTTCCCCTCCCCTTCCCTGTCCCCACTCCTCTGCTCACCACTGCTGCTGTCGCTGGCTGCCTCCGGGATGTGGCAAGGACAGGGGAGCTCCAGATACACTGCTGCCCCCTCCAGTAGAGCTCCACATTGAGTTAGGCTCAGTCAGGGATAATGACAGCAGCAGGCAGGTCCCTCCTCCCCGCCCAGTCCCCATAGTGTTTCCTGCCAGCTCAGGAGCAGGCACAGAGGAAAGGAACCTATCCACTGCTATGTCTAGGCAAGCCTGGTTCCAGGTACAGCCTAGCTGCAGCGGGGCAAAATCCCTCTGGAGCCCTGCCACCAGCCCTGGGTCAGCTGGGGCAGTGGCAGGTGGGGGAAAGGGAGAATGGAAGAAGAGGGGAGGGACTATGCTGCTGAGCACAAAGAGAAAAAGAAGGTGTGGAAGGAAAATTCTTACCTGCTTGAGGGACTTAAAAGGAAGTCCTTGGTTGCTGCTCCTGCAATATAGTCTACCTGCCCTGGTATGGCAGGGTGGGGAGAAGCTAGGAGCTGGGGTGCAGCCACCCCTGCAGCACAGGTTGCTGCTCCCACACACACCCTTTCTGAAATCCTGGTTCTGCCCATGTGACCAGCAGTACTGGATGACTTCCCTGAGGAATTAGGAAGTGGGGAAAGAGCTGGGAGGAGAGTAAAGAAGGGCCATCCCTTTGGGAGTGGAGTGGAGAAAGGAGGCAGAATGGAAGAAGCAGAACAACGTAACAAGGTTCACACAAACAAACGATTTTGTGAGATTAAAATGTCTGTGGCATAATAAGCATGCCATACCTGTTCTGTTACAGTAATACATTCCATCCAAATGGAGGGGGCCAACCACAAGATACAGCAGGCTCAGGAAACAAGATGCGTTTTCCTGCATGACTGACTTAGCTCCAATATCTATCCTGTGCACCAGCTCACCCCCTGCAATTGTGAGTCATATTTCCCTAAACACCCACTACAGCCCATGAGACATTCCAATACTAGAAGAACATGGGCCATAAAAAGTACATAAATGGACTTAGTGAACAAGCAATGCATTTCTAGGCAATGGTTACATATCTCTTGAACGGGGCTTGAAAGTTGTTAAGTAGAAGGGCTATAGTGTTTAACTACCAGAAAAATGTAATTACCTCAAAAGACTGCCTGGACAGCCATAGCTATCATCACATTCAAGGCATGCATGTAAATAAGGGAAAACACTAATCATGTGCATTTAATGAAGAAGATAGAAACAGGCAAAACAAATTGTTTGTTGATTTCCAAAATTAATAAATTACAAAATACACCTCTTATCAAGATGCTTGCTTGTAAGAGGTAAGAAAGTTGGCTACTCGTGTTTGTATTTTACTATAATGCATTGGACAGTCACTAACAGTGGAACAACCTCCTCCCCCATAACAATTAAAGTATGGTCAGAAAACACACAATGGCTTACTGCATTGTTGAATTAGCAGAAGGATCATCATCTGTGGCACCAGTCTGCAAAGAAAAATGGTCTTCTGTGGGTTGGATTCCTTTTTCTTTTTTCAAGTTAACAGATTTTAAGGCCATCTTGCTATCCACATCTCCTAAGCCATCTAGTTGGTCAGCCACGTTTATTATTTGATCCTCTTCACTCACAGAAACTGTGAGGTCACTGCTGGTATCTAAACTTTCGTTCTCCAGCTCCTGTACGTCTCCAGTGGGCCACAGGTTACCTGCATTATGACCTGAATCTGAAATAAAAAGTGACAAGTATTACCAGCATATTAACACTATTGCAACAAAATATATGCAACAGTACTGCAAAGAGGCATAGATGCTGTTTAACACATTCACCTACTTCACAAGAAACATGTCATTCATACATTATAAATCATCTGCCATTTATGCAATTTTTTTCAGGATTCCCCTAGGAATACCCATTTTCCATTTGTTCCATCAACATTCTGGCATAGTGAGATGGATGCAACTGTCTGAAACCTACCAATATGGTACTTAAGTCTTGTAGAGAGGTCTTACAGAGCAATGCAAACTGCTCTCAATAGGCAACAAGATCTCCTCTCAGACCACTCATTTTGCTGTGATCAGATATAGAGAGAAGGGACTAAATTTGAGCATTGTACTTGATTTTGTTCTTAAATCATAGGCCACACTATGACAGTCAGACAAGGCTTGGAAAATCCACTCGCTGACGGGGAATATGAATTATTCTCACGTGAATGCCACTGATTTCCGAAAAATAAACTCTAATTCTCCAAAAGGTGCTACTCGTAATGCTTGCACAGATGACCTTTCAAAAACAGGAACTGACTGTGACCGATGGAAATCCAGATTTTCCACAATGTACAAATGCACTCACCTTCATGCTGCTTAACAGAGGGGAAGGGGGAGGTTAGGAGGCTTGGTGCTTCTGCTTGGTGGGGAGGTATCAAAAATAGCCTTCCCAACACAGTGTAATTTACTCAGCTAGAAAGTAGGGAACCTGCTCGCAGCCAGTCTCCAAGCTAGCTGGAGTCTCGTTCCTTAAGGCACTATTGCTTGTTCTGGGGCACACTGGGGATTAAACCTCAGTCCTCTGCCACCCTACTATAGGGGAGGGGAAAGAATAAAGATGTATCTAACAGTAGTGAGACAAAGCCTAAATGTACTACTACAATTGACCAGCACAGAGTTAAACTGCAGTAGTGGGGAGGCACAGCATTTATATCTTTTTTTTTTTTT